AAAACAACTGATCAACTGAAAAGTCAGGAAAAAAACAGGAACAAAATATTTTCAAATAGAAAAGTTATTTTAAATTGTAACAATATTTTACAATATTACTGTTTTTACTGTATTTTAATCAAATAAATGCAGTTGGTGAGCATAAATGTCTTTTATCAAGCATTTATTTAGGTGGATGTCATATTTGGAGGATCCTTGGCATCAAAAAATAAGAAAATCATTTCACAAATTGCCTTTGCCTCAACATTTTGTCAATTGCTGACTGGAAAAGAAAGAGAGGAGTCACAGGAAGTAGTTGCCACAACAGAACCGGACATAAGCAAATCATTAGTCTCACATCTGAGAAAAGAATCTAGGAGTAAACGTACCAATAAGCTCACCAAAATCTACACTGAGACATTTTTAGTGCACAAGATATTGGTTTCAGTACAAGAAGTTATGTTAAAATAAAATATTAATCTCTCACACAAAAATATTTAAATTTATTTTAAATGACAAAAGCATTTCAATTAAATTGTTCATCATTAAATGCAAAAAGTCTGACTGTGATTAATGGATAATGGGTTTTAAACAACCTTTTTAAAGAATAATTGAAAAAATGTTTTATTTGAAGGTACAAAGTCAATCACAAAAAAAAAAAAAAAAAATCCCAGAACTCTAAAATCAAGCAACAGGCACTAAATTTGATCAGTTATATATTCACAGTGAAGTGTCTTTTAAGCACATTGCAACATCAAGACTAGTCCACGTTCAGCTAAGTAACACATATTCAAAAATCAAATAAAGCAAACCAATAAAACATTTAATTCATGGAGATGAACACAGAACCTAGCCTCATTATGAAGCCTCTTATTAAATGGATGTCAACTTATCTATAGTCTCTTAAGGCTGGAATACACTACATGATTTTTGCCCAGATTTTCCACCGATTTACAGTCTGGAGAAGTTGACATCAGTTGCCAAAGGCCAGAGCCAGTCTGTAGATTTGAGTCGACTGATTCCATAGAAAATCGTGTAGTGTATGATGGTCACAGACTTTGATTATTTAGCTTCAGACTATGATTCCATCCAGTTGGGGAGATAAAGCATGTTTGATATTTACAGCATTTTAAAACACATTGTTTTCATTTGTCATGCATCTCCTAGCAACAATGTGCACATTTCTGTGCGCGTTTGTTGTGATCGGAAGGAATTTAAAGTCTGGAAGTGTATCATCCTCAGTCGTTTAATGTATGATGCCCAGTGTTCCTTTGTGACTATTTACAAAGTCTGTAAGTGTATGATGCCTGGTGTTTTAAAACTCTGTTCAAATTTCAAAAGCCATGCAGTGTATTCCAGCCTTTAGTTGCTTTTTTCCTAGACAGATATGACAGATTTATGTTGGCCCCTTCTTTGTACGGACGACATGCCTCTTTCATCTTTGGGCATAAACTATAGTTACGTTTAGATTTTGTAATCTTAAAGCTGTTAAAGAGGTCATATGATGCTTTTTTAAAGATCATTATTTTGTGTATTTGGTGTAACAGAATATGTTGACATGCTTTAATGTTCAAAAAACACACCAAAAAAAGTTACGGACTGCAGCTTTAAAGTCTGTTTATGAAGTATTTACATAGACGTTCAATGTGGAAGAGCTTAAAGAGAGCACACTGAGCTTAACTGGAGCAGCAACAATTTTTTATAAATTTCATGTAATATTTATTAAAATTACAAGATTTTGCTAAATAAATAATCTAGGTCATGTATTAAGTTAATACATATTTTAATATGAACAACTATTATTAACATTATCTATGAAATTATACGTTTTCTTATTGATGTTACACTGAAGCTGTGTGATTTTTCATAGTAGTGCACCCTTTAAGCTCACCTTAAAATAACATGAAATCTTTAAAAATTACAGCAGTGTAAAATCACAGACCAGCAATAAACTGTCAATTTATAATATTATGGATATAAAAGTACAAGCCAGTAATGCATCTGCGCTATGTTACTAAAACTATCTTTTGAATCTAACTCTAAATATTTCCCACATCCAAGTTCCAGGTTATAATATGCAAAAGTATAAACATAAATCTATTAATTTTACAGTAAGTAGCTAAACTTACCCAAAATAAAGGCTTAAACATAAAAAATGCACATTTAAGGACCTCCTCTTTTGGTGAAAGTTTTCAGACAGCTTTCAAAATGGCTTGTGTCACACGATCCAGCTAGTTAAAATATGGAAGTGTGCTTAATGGGTACGTGAGCTTAATAGGTACGTTTACCCTAGTTACTGAATCAAAGAAGAAATTTTTACATTGACAGTTCTGAAATATTGACTGTTCAAGGGGTAAAAATACTTACAGTAGCGAATGAAGAGTGTGGAAAAAACATTGCTTTCTTTTCCTTTTTCATAAGAATGTTAGCATATTTTGAGGAGCCCTTCTTGCACGCTAGCACCACTTCTCTGGCGAACAAACACTTGACAGAACATCTTTATTATGTAGAGGTTTAATAAGATCATCTACTTAAAATCAGACGTGGTATTGCGTTGCATTCCAAACAAGAGTTCAGTTCAATGTCAAGTAATCTCAGTCATTAATTAATTAGCAATATTTTTCTTTATCTCCAATTAGTGAATGCAAACCCTCGTTTTCTGAATTCGCTCCTTTATGGTCATAGTGCTCTTTCAAACTGATAAAACACTGAAATTTTAAATATTTCCCGAGGACAAGCTGTCACATGCAAAAGTGGTTACAGTGAGAGAAGTATTCTTGATTCATAATAGCGGACTTCTTTAAAATGCCCAGTTATTACAAACTCTTATTTGAGTGTTACTCAGTTTCAAGGACATTATAAATGAGCCACCGAAAAGGGCTGGTGAAACAAGGCAGGGAGTGACTTGTGCTGCTAGTCTGCATCAAGGCCAAAACCTTGAGAGAGAAGAAATGAGAAAAGAAGCATTCAGATTGTTTAGATTTTCTCTCTCGCCAATGGTTCTTGCTCTCTTTATATTACACACAATGAATACACAAACAAACAAACAAACAAACACCATTCGCTGTAAATCGCAGCTGCCCTATGACTGAAAAGTGATACAGTATATATATATATATATAATTTATTTTTTTATTTTTTTAGATGAAATTAAAGTTACTGACGGCTTCAAAGTTCATGGTAGATCTAAAAGCTTTATATAGATATAAACATTCTCTACAGAGAAAATGAATGAGATTTTTATTTTTACCAGACTGTTGCACACTAAAAACACAAATATGACCATTATCAAAGACAGCAACTTCTATAATATTTGGAAAATCTTCTCACAACTGACACAACGTTATATTACAAATGAATGCAATAAAGGCACAAACTAATCAAAACATAAATAACCACAGAACATGAAAATCCAACATGAAAACACAACCCACACAATATTTAAGTACTGTACAGAGTCACTACTAAAAATGCAGAAAATGTAGGAGAGTCCTTTCAGTTATAGAATACAGTTGTCACTCCGGTTCATAACAGAACTGTGTGTGAAAGTAAACGCACTTGGTACTCTAAAACAGGATTGGCAACTGTGTGACTAAATTGAAGGTCCAAGAAACGTGATGGGTCCTGTCTGTTCTAACAATCATGGCAGTGCTGAATTTTTGGTGAAAAAAACATTTTCTGTCTGTGGAAAAATAGACCACCCCCACCATATTATTTTCCTGCCACTACTAGAGCTTGTAGTAATTACTTTAATGATGTCCCTGCATCTCAGCCGCCGCGCCACGAGCAATAGAAGGCTGACCACAAAATAAAAGTTCAATGAAGGCGCATGGGAGACACAATCATCTCATTAAATGACGCAGAGACAGAAAGTACAGAAGGAGAGAAAGCGGTGTTTTTTTCCTCACACATAGAATGCAAAAAACCTATTAGAGAGGTAATATTTTCTAGGACTCTATGTGCGGCCAGGAAATAGAGAATGTCGAATACTTGCAAAGCAGTAAATTACTTGCAGACATTTTAAAATGTGCCAGTAGTAGGTTTACTTAAGTGATAATGATCTAATTCTGTTTTCTCAATGCCAGATGTATGAGGATGTATCCCATTACCGCCGTCCATAGCAATGAATGTGACAGCTCCAAAAATCCTAGCAGACACGGTCAGTGGAGAATTGCGTGGGGGCATTGATATCAACAGCTGTTCTGTTTCATATCAGCTAGCAGGGACAGAGATCCAGGGCTCACCCTCGCTGGCTAACCCTTACCTCTGCAAAAAATATGTAATTTGATTTCAATCGGTCCTGAAAGGTAGATGGCAGGCCTTGTTGCAACAACAATGACATCCACACGCTTCACCAGGTTTTCACGTCAAGGGGCACTGCTGCACTTTTATTATTTATATGTAACTTATTTTTTCAGAGCAACAGAATTGCATTTTTTTTGTCTGGTTGGATGCATTGAAAGGCTCCGGTGTGGAGGGGGTGCAGGGTGTGCATTGAAAGGCTCCGGTGTGGAGGGGGTGCAGGGTGTGTACAGGCACAGAAGGTTTTTCGGCCAATCTGGGAATCATTTACTTGCATTTTCCATCTGCATAATGAGCTGGGCAGCCAATGACAGTGCTTGCTGGCCGAGGACAGGGTGGCATGCCTTCAGATTTAATGGGCGTGCAGAGGAAACTTCCAATGCTTTCTGACATCTCTCATAGCAAACTAAATGTGCTCTGGGTCAGGGAGTGTCTATTATGAAAATAAGAGACAAACAAGTCAATTATACTTCACTGACTGCATTGCCAGGGGTCCTCATTAGAATGACCAGGAAGGTCCGTGCCGCTGTGCTCCTCTCCTCTGTGTAGCTCCTGATTAAGCTGTGGAGGAATGACAAGACCCTGTGCTACTCTTTATTTTATGGAGTGCATCTATACGAACGTGTTCATGGAGTGGAATCACATAGACACACAAACAAACCTCATGAGGCCGTATAGGCGCAAGACAGCACATTGTGGGGGCAGCATCTCGCAAGCCAGTAAGAAACCGTTGACAGGCTCGGATTATAAAAGTAAAAAAGTACAAGACACAGAACTCAGAGGTCAGGAAGCTGATAGTGTCATGGATCATGATGCATCTAGGAAACACTTTTGGCAGGGGATGTTGGGAACTGTCATGCACGGACTGGACTCATGGCTTAGGGTGAGAGGGCGGGGCTATAGAATGGATCCAAATGAAAATCCTGGGGTTTGGCGGGCGGATCGGTGCACACTCCTGTTTCTCATGGTGTGGAGACTGGGGTTCACTGACAATGACAGGATCTGTGGAGACAGGGTACAGGGAATCTGGCTTGTTCTTCCTAGTGCTTGTATCTTGTGCAGCAGAGTGAAATTCAGACTCTAATTAATTCATCTGAGCATGTACAAAAAAATCCCGCAACGCTACACACAATATATAAATGTTTCCACCTACATTATTATTCAAAACTTTAGTGTCGGTAAAATATAAATAATGTTTATGAAAGAAGTCGCTCATGCTCGGCAAGGCTGCATTTATTTGATCAAAAATACAGTAAAACAATAATATTGTGATTTTGCATATTTTAAAATGTAATTTATTGCTGTGATGGCAAATCAGCCATTATTCAAGTCTTCAGTGTCACGTGATCCTATAGAAACCATTCTAATATGCTGATATGGTGCTCAAGTAACATTTTTTATTTTTATTGCAGATGAAAATGGTTATTTTTGTGAAAACTTTTTTCAGGATTGTTTAATGAATAATAAGGTTGAAAAAAAATCTTAAATAGATTTTGTAAAAAATTTAAATTTTATGTATCTTTGCTGAATCAAAGTATAATTTCTTTTAAAAACCCAAACATTTTGAATGGTAGTGTATATTATAACATATGTATGGATATTAAATATTAATATTAGATAAAACATATTGAATATCAATTAGTGTATTTAACTGAAACATGAAAACATCTACAACTTTTAAAACAATTATTTCTATTAATATATCTAATGGGGAAACATTTATACTACAAACTGATAGATGCATGCTGTGATAATACAATCTTTACATCTCTAAACTTTTTATTTTTTGAATATAGCTTTGTTGAAACAAAACGTATGCATTCTTTGCATTCTACTATGGGAAAAACCAATGCCTGCTTTATTTTACTGCATTTCAGCACAAAGTACAAAAGGTTCTCATCCAGCATATTATTCGCTTCCCTCTTTAGGTGCTCTTTGAAACATGGATGATTATTTCCTAAATTTGTTCTGGCACCAAAAGCACTAGTAAACCTACTGTAAATTGACATTCCCTGAGGTATTTAAAAGGCCATGTGCTTGTGTTACCTGAAGGTAAATTGGGAGACATAGTGAGCACACCAGAGTACATGCAACCACATCCAGCGCGCATGTTAAAACACAAAGCCCTCAACCCCCTTTCTGTTGTTGTGCAGACTTAATATAGCTCAAGGCTACGCAAATGTACGTCTTGACCTCTTTAAGTTGCCAAATCATGCAGAATAAAAACACTTTTTTTTTTCTGCTGCTGTCTGCTCTTACATGAGAATATCCTTGTTATGATAATTGGAAATTCAGTTCTTTCCCTCCAGTGTGCTTTTTAAAATATAAGCCAGCGCGTGCAACCAAACCAACTTTAACCAGCATTACAACCTGTGTCTCATCATGATAATTGGGTTTTTGAGTTGATTTGACTGGATGACAGCGATGTCTTGAAGATTCATGATGGCAGTCTTTTTACCCAATAGTGCGACTCAGGAGGAGGCATTTAATTAGGGAACTTAAAACAAGGTCAGTTTTGCAAAATGTTTGCTTATCCACACATCCCTCCAAACCTTAATATCACATCTGTTTTTAACATCATGCTAGTTTCTACAGTTGCTTTTACTGCTCAAATCCAGGTTAAAATATAATAGAACAAAACACAAAGTTTAACATGTTAACGTTTAAGATCCATAATAACAAATGGATCTTAAATGAATTACATATATATTAAATATCTTAATGTCCACATTATAAAACTTTACAAGTTTCAATTTATTATTTTTTTATTTAAAAAAAAATCCACAGTGCAACTTTTGCAGATATTTGTCCAAGAGATTAGTTTTTGATATGCTAAAATTTGTACTGATTGAAATCCACAGGTTTTCACAAATTTTTAAAATTTGGCAGTAATCAAGTCAAAAATTACTTATATGTCTTGGCCGATAACTAATAAATGGCCGACATAAAAAGAAAAAAAACTTCTCTAAAATTCAAAATAAAGCACTAAAAATTCATTTTAAATGCTACAAATTGAACAAATTAATTTAGGAATTAAACATTGCAATGTACAGTTTAAAAAATGGTTATTTATTTTGAGATTTGCTCAGGTCTACATTTAAAAGTGTTATTAAATTCAGTATTAAAACATGAAATTTAAGTGAGCATTAGTTGATGGCAAAGGTAGTCTAAATGTAAAAATAGGTGAAAAGAGCATGAACAATATCTACAATAGTGATTAAAAAATGAATGTCTGCCAATAACATAAGAACAATATGATACTGATGCAGCATGCATCACTATTATAATCTACTATGGATTAAAGTATTAAACAGAAAAAAGCTCATGCTGCTTGACATATGCAAGGAAGGAACTTTTACTAGAAAGAACTACTACTACTAGTTTCTTGTTGTTACAAATAGTCTGATAGGAAATAAGAAGACACAAAATAATGCTCATTGCATCTGTTTGAGCCTGAGGGGTCAGATATGCCTCCCTAGGTCATGGCTTATCTAATGATGTTCTTCAAAGACCATCTTTTATCCTCCACCTACGCTCAAGTTCACACCTCACAAACCAGAGAAGCAACCTGGAGGGGAACCGTGCAGCGTTCATAATTTCACAAGAGTGGAGATGTCACTACGAGAGGAGAGGGATAAACAATAATCTTTCTAATGCCAAGGATCCACAGCAGCCTAACTATTCTTGGAGTCACTCCAGGCCAATGCGTTGTCCCTGTCTGCACAGTCATCTCAAGCTGGGCACACAATGTTATGGATAGAGACCAATCACCAATGCGGTTTACAACACCCGAAGCAGCGAGCGATGCGCAGGAGACCAAACGACGAGTTCTTGGTGCATCAAAGAAGATAATTAGGAAGCAGCAAAGGCCCTTCAAAAGAGAGAAATCGCATCTGCTGTTTTCCCCTGCAGTTATTTTACAAACAAAATATCCATGATTAAGGTAAAAATGTCTGAACATTTACATTCAGAAGAATTTAATATATCAGTTTGTCCTCTAGACAAACTGAAGATGATTATGACACTTTCTAACCTCAAGTAATTTTAATGAACTTCATAAAAGTTCTCAACGGTCTCTAAATGGTGTTCAGGTTTGACCAAAGTCTGTCTGGCATGTTTTTTTTTTTGTTTACAGCATGTTCACAACTGGCTCCTTAGATATGATTGAGCAACCCCTGAAAATTAACCAATAATGTTCTTGTAAGCATGGCATTAGCTTGTCCTAGATTGCTGAGACAATTAACACTACAACAATACCTGGTCTCCTCCCTCTGTCCTTGACAAGAAGCAAACACTTTATAAACTTTTCACTTTTGGTAATTTGATTTGTTCAATTCTATTTTGCTCAATTTTGTTCAAATAAATGCAATTTGTAACTCTAATGCCTGCCACAAGGTGGATAAACAAAAATGCAGCCTTGCCAGCCAGAAAAAATTAGAAAGATGGTACAAAACATAACGGAGTGTACTTGAAAAAGATCCAAGGCTTAAACTAGTGGCTCTCCTGAACTATTACTCATGAATCAGAAATCTTGAACATCTGTGTATATTTAAATAAATATAAATATATAAGTGTATATTTAAATAAATATATAAAAATAAAAATAAAATATTTAAATTGTATACATTTATTTATTTTAGTTCATTACACATTATGCTGACATTTGGGGGTAGATGGTGTACATGACCTGTCCTTTACACCATCCAAATCCATTTACCTGCCTAAAGGTGTTGAAAAGGTGTTTCCTCATTAACAAACTAATTTACAAACCCAATCTTTGTTCACGACTGTATTTACTGCATGACGGAAGTATTTATGCAGTTATGTGGTTGCGGTCGAGTGATCCTGTGTGGAAAGCTGTCTGGTCCAGATTCTTTCTAGCCATTTAACTCTGCTAATGGCCTCTCTGCTGCACCAAATGGCCCTTCTCTCCGCTCCGCCACACAGTCGTCAAACTGATATGCCCTAATGTAAATATTTGGACCTGTACCCCCACCCCCTCCAAAGGGCAGAAAAGGAGCTTTTTAATTGATATACTGCACACTCAAACGGTTTTAGCTTCTAGGAGAAGAGGTGAGTGTTACGAGCAGAACAAAAGATCACACTAGACTAGTCCTCTAAGGTGCTGGTATTATGTATAGTGACCTTGTGTGAGAATATCAATCTTTCTTCTACTCCAGATCACAAGATAATATGACCTGGTTCATCCCTGAACGGTTCAACTCACGGACAGGGCAAAACAAACAAGTGACAGTAAAAGAATGACAGTGGGAAGGGGAAAAAAAAACTGCTTTAGAAGATCTAGACCATCCACTTCAGAAGGCACTGCTGTGTAATTTCTGCCCGTGAAGCTTCAGAAAATGTAACTTCTGTTGAAAATGCTTTGAGAGTTTCCTGTGATCGAATTGAACATGATATTGAACTTGAACTCAGACTTCTCCTTCATAACTTCTACACATATACTGTTTAGCAGCCCCAAAAATTTAGCAAACATACAAACTAGGTTTTAAAATGTGAAGCATGGAAATTATTCAAAACAAAGACTAAAATATTAAGAATATTATTATTTGTGCTGCTTAATATAAAAAAAAATAAGCAGCATATTAGAATGATTTCTGAAGGATCATGTGGCACTGAAGACTGAAGTAATGGCTGCTGAAAATTCAGCTTTGCCAACAAAGCAATGAATTAAATTTTTTAAAATATATTAAAATAAAAATTGTAACAATATTTCACAATATTATTATTTTACTGTATTCTTGATCAAATAAACTTGACAGAAACACACACATTATAGTTCACTGATGCATGTATTGTGGTCATTTTATGAACTGCGGGTTTGATTTTAAAATCAAAAAGTGCCATGAATACAGCATATAGTACACAAAGATATAATCTGCATATTAAACACATCCTCTGGGTAATCTAGGTCAAAGTGTCAGGAGTCTCATTGAGGCATGTGGCTCTGGATTGTCTTCACACCTCTCTGTGCTTGGGCTAAT